AGAAAATCGATCGTTCCGCGTCCACATCATCGGGCCCCCGGCCAGAACGTAAGATGAGCATGCCGAATGGAAAGCTCTTCGAGCTCGATTCTTGGTTCCACAGCAATTTCCGTTGGGAGCTTATCGCACTCGTCTGCGTGCTCAACGAGGTGGCTCTCGCGTACCCGCAATGTGGGCGACACCTGTAGTGCTCGCCCCTAGCGAAAGTGCTACAGATGACGATGCGCTCTTTGAACGATGGATGCAACGGCATTGGAAACTTTCCTCGCAGTATAACTTCCAGTTGAGCCACATGGAAGCAAACGTGCGTGTGGAGCGCCACCTCCGATTTGAGTTTGCCAAACTCAAAGCACGCCGTCGGCTCCCTTCGGATTGTCGCCCTGCGACGTATGGGTCAACCCCTATCGCGCCCGCGAGCTCTGTGTCTGCGACCGCAAGAGCTCAGGGCCACTGCTTGAGCTCAGCTCATGGCCCTTCTACATCCCTGGCTATTGCCGGGAAGCGCGGGGCGACTGGGCAATCCTGTCGAAGTGGCGCCTCCAACTCCCACGAGTTTTTGGAGTCGGGATATCCCCGTGACTTCACCAAATATTGAATTTGACCCTGGTGACGACGTTGTCTCACTAGACGTTCTACGTGATAGTGGGCGTCACCGTTCACATCGAGAAGAGTCGGTGGCGGGCGGTGACGACCGGGTCGACCGCCGTCCGGTGACTTGTGATGCTCTTCGAGCCCTTAAGGACGAGGTCCTTCGTGATCGGAGCTCCGCTGAGCGTCATGCTAAAGCAGCATATCGCTGTGCGGACGCTATTGACGATCTGTAGCACGTCGTGCGCCGGCTGCCTCGCCTTGAGGACTACCGCTCTCTGTCGGAGCGACTCCTAGCCGTGGAGCAGGCGAATGCGTCGCTGCAGGCAAGGTGGGGCGCTTGGCTCCATTGGAGATGGGGGTTGTTGCACTTCGTGCTCAGAACTAGTTTCTGGGTGATCGAGGGCCCGTGTGATCCGCTCTGGCTGCAACGCTTCCGCGTTCACATGCGCCGGATCCCGGTACGGCTTGAGCAAGTCCACGTAAAACACCGGGTGGGTGCGCATCCGTTTGGGAAGGTTTAGCGTATACACTAGGCCCCGTTTGGCCACAACCTTAAACGGTCCGATAAACCGTGGACGAAGCTTCGTCCGGAAGATTGCAGAGACTGCATGTGTAGGCAGGTTCTTAGAGTTTAATAAAATCAGGTCTCCGACGATAAAGCTTTCCACTTTGCCTCTTCCCTTTTCAAATTCATATTTTTTCTGCAGGTCTTGGCTTTCAGCCGTCGCATAGCGAACATGTCGAAGGACACTCAGTCTGGTAGACAAGAGGTCATCGACTTCGTTGCGGATGGTGAGGGGGCTGACATCAGCTAGTCGTTCGGCTATTCCTCCTCCACCAAGCCCTGAGCCATGGGATGGTGGCGTCATAGGGACGCGAGGGTGAATCAGCCCGCTTACGTAGAACGGCGTGTAGCCGGTAGACAAATGCACTGCAATGTTCAGCGCAAACTCTACGAGTGGCAACATGGCGCTCCAGCGCCTCGGCATCTCTGCGCAATTGCGGCGAAGAACGTCTTCGATGACGCGATTCACCCTTTCGGTTTGGCCATCGGTCTGCGGATATCCGCTGTCGACAAATCCAACTTGGTGCCGAGCACCTTGAAGATGGTCGACCAAAATTTTCCTGTGAAACGGGATCTCTATCAGCGACAATCGACTCTGGGAGTCCGTGTCGGAAAACACGATTTACGAACAGCGTTGCTGTACCGACTCCATCGATGGTGTCTGGCACGCCGCCAAACGAGCCATCTTGCTCAACCGATCTACGAATACCACGACACCCGTGTTGCCCACCGAATGTTTCGGCAGGCCAAACACAAAGTTCAACCTCATGGACTGCCAGCACCCAGTGGGTACCGGTAAGCTGACCAGCGGCGCAGCCGCATTTGGAAAAGGTTTCT